AGACCTGCATAAGAATTACAGTAGAACTATATATTTATTACTGTATGTCTAAATTAAACACGTGCTTGATGCTCTGTCACTGGCTAAAACTGACAATCCTTCAGAAATCATTCCAATACGTCTTATCTATCTTATACTGACCCCGCACTTTTGAACGGTAGTGACACACACGCAAACTCTATCAGGTGTCTAACGTGTCTAACACTGGTTGGTAGTAGTTATTATGGGCAATACTTTGAATTTAATTTGAATGTCAGGACCGACTGCTATAATATTTTTAAATCACTATGTGGCTCTGAAATGTAATTGTTTAATATACATTAACCAGGGCTCCAAGATCCAGATATACACAGACAGGGTTCTAAAGTTGCCTTTGCCTTTTAAAAGAGATTCAGCAGCCTACTCTTTGCTCATTGTTAAAGGTGGCCATAACATTGTGGCGAGCTCTGGAGCGTCATAGAGGAAGACGATGTTGTGAAAGGAGGAAAATGCATGGAAAGACAAATGGATTGCGCAACACATAACTGATTTTCATGCACGACAGCTAATTTATTTGCCTCCTCCAACTGCCTGTAAATCAAAGCCAATTTTTCATATGACGTGCTGAATTTAATTCACACAATTGTCAATCTGTTGAAGTCACAAGTGTGTATAAATAATGTATTAAAATAATAATAATGTAATTGTGTGGTTAGGAGTTTGTCTGCTTATGATGCACTTTAGCATTCTAATACTCCTGAAAACTTTGAGATCTACAATAATGGCGTCTTGTAAACTTCCATCCAAAGAAAGCCAGGTTCAAAAGAACTCTGTTTACTTAACGGGGAACGTTTTTTTAATATTTGTCCTGATTAATTTCGGCGTACTTAGCCTGTGGTTCTCATTTATTTTAAGAATTAATTTAATTAGCCTACTTTAATACGGACATGATCATGACATTTAATAAGGCGGTGTCAAAAACTAATGAAGAGAGGCGAGGAGTGATTCACAGCGCAGATCTCACAAGTCTTACCTGTTAATGATGGCTTCCAGATATGCGGGCTCTGCGTCTGGTCTTTGGAGCAATAAAGTTGACCGCTGCAATTGTTTGACCAGTTCCATGGCTGGTGGCCTTCCATTGTCAAGCAAGTATCCTGTCTGGAATCTCCGGTCATTGTTCTATTAACTACAGGTAAATCAATATAGGCAGGGTGGATTCTTGGGTAGGAACCTGTGTAACTTTGGTAAAAAGCGAACTCCTTAAGCCAGCCGTCACAATAGTCCACGGGTTTACTGGCAGACTGTCCATTCGCATTTTGTTTTACAACACTAGACGGAAACATGGCGTTCTGTGGAAATTTGCAACTATAACAACTATTTCCGAAACGACATCCAAAAGTGACTGAGGAGCTAGTGCCAATGTTGGCTGGAAAAGAAACGTAAGGAGTGAGAGACTCGGCGCTTGTCGAAGTCGGTCGTTCCGCCGCGGAGAACATCGGAGTTTCTGACGCAGACCGGCTTGAGTGCGCCTCGAAGGCAGATGGGTAAACATTTCTGAACTCCTCATTTAACCCCCTTGCTTCCATATTTACTTGCACAATATGCTTTGCAATTTAACACATCGTATTTTATGAGCTCAAAACCAAGAACACTGTACACGGAGAACAATCTCCGTTTATAGTTAGCTTTTATGTTTATTTTCCGGACTAATTACATAGGTCAGATAACCTGGTACCTGATTGGATAGTTGTCACCATGTGACATGCAAATAGTTAAACTGAATTTGGACAACACCACGGTGTAGTTTTCACTTGTCTATGCGTGAACCTAGTTTAAGTAGGCAGTTTAATCCAGGAAATAAACATGGTTAAACAACTTTTTAATTAGGTTTTGTATTTATTTGATATATTTTAAAACTATTAAATCACAAACAAAGCTTGTAGCTTAGGCAGCACAGCAGTGGAAATGTCTCAGACCTGCATAAGAATTACAGTAGAACTATATATTTATTACTGTATGTCTAAATTATATATTTTAAAACTATTAAATCACAAACAAAGCTTGTAGCTTAGGCAGCACAGCAGTGGAAATGTCTCATATTAGACCTGCATAAGAATTACAGTAGAACTATATATTTATTACTGTATGTCTAAATTAAACACGTGCTTGATGCTCTGTCACTGGCTAAAACTGACAATCCTTCAGAAATCATTCCAATACGTCTTATCTATCTTATACTGACCCCGCACTTTTGAACGGTAGTGACACACACGCAAACTCTATCAGGTGTCTAACGTGTCTAACACTGGTTGGTAGTAGTTATTATGGGCAATACTTTGAATTTAATTTGAATGTCAGGACCGACTGCTATAATATTTTTAAATCACTATGTGGCTCTGAAATGTAATTGTTTAATATACATTAACCAGGGCTCCAAGATCCAGATATACACAGACAGGGTTCTAAAGTTGCCTTTGCCTTTTAAAAGAGATTCAGCAGCCTACTCTTTGCTCATTGTTAAAGGTGGCCATAACATTGTGGCGAGCTCTGGAGCGTCATAGAGGAAGACGATGTTGTGAAAGGAGGAAAATGCATGGAAAGACAAATGGATTGCGCAACACATAACTGATTTTCATGCACGACAGCTAATTTATTTGCCTCCTCCAACTGCCTGTAAATCAAAGCCCATTTTTCATATGACGAATGAGCTGAACAATGAACAATGAGCTGAATTTAATTCACACAATTGTCAATCTGTTGAAGTCACAAGTCTGTATAAAGAATGTATTAAAATAATAATAATGTAATTGTGTGGTTAGGAGTTTGTCTGCTTATGATGCACTTTAGCATTCTAATACTCCTGAAAACTTTGAGATCTACAATCGCTTTTATGATTTACCTAAGCTAACCAGCGCTTTTGGGATTTTGTGCGCATGTAGGCCCTATTCCGCCTGTGAGCCCTCAAAAACACACAATTAGAACCGAAACCAGACAACCTGCAGTTTTTTTCGTCTGTAGTGCCCTAACAAGAAGCCTGCAGTTTGTTGACATACCACAGAAAGCAGTAAAACTATACCTTTCACAATGCCATGAATTTCTCACGATCGCGTGATTGCCGCGTTCATTCAGATCAGATGTGGGATATTTTGTACTTAAATTCTAATTCTCCCACTATGAATGTCCGACGCTCAAGTGATGCCATTTTCTAAACACACAATAACTGAAACATTAAATAGAAACGCAATTAATTTTATTGTCATAAACGCAAATGTGACAATTTTCATTAATTTGCAGATATATTTTTGCAAAGGTATGGTTTTATATAATTAAGGCAGGGTTTCTGTTTCACTGGGGGATTTTATTTGTTCAAAAGTGTGTTTACCATTAACTGTACTTTTTAATGGTAACTGTACCATTATCTGTGTCTCTCTAGTTCGTGTGGCCTAAAGCAAATCGTCAAAAGCACAGTTCTAAAAGAATGAACCATAAGGGCCGTCCTTATCTGACGCGGGGCCCGGTGCGAGGTAGGGAGTGGGGCCCCCGAGTGTGTGTGTGTGTGGGGGGGGCGCTCCCTACCTCGCACCTTCTGCGCAGAGAAATTTTTAACCCCACTTACTAGCACAAATAATACCACAATACTGAAACATTGAGGCATTTTTTTTGTACAGACAATGCTTAGATTAAGCCATAACTAGGCCTTTGTTAAAAATATGACTGTTCAATATCAGTTCAATATTACTAAAGTTGGACTACACCATAAAATCAGTCCATGACAACTCTCTCATGTGGCCTCAGAAGACCTTGAATCTTGTGCAGACGCCATGTATCTTTATAGTGCATTTTTAGTGGTTATATTTGTCTGTTTTTGGAGTTCTCTCCTCTGACATTTTAAAGTGACGTGACCTGTGGCCAAGTATGGTTACCCATACTAGGAATTAGTGCTCTGCATTTAACCCATCCTTAGTGCACACACACAGCAGTGAACACACACACACCGTGAACACACACCCGGAGCGGTGGGCAGCCATTTATGCTGCGGTGCCCGGGGAGCAGTTGGGGGTTCGGTGCCTTGCTCAAGGGCACCTCAGTCGTGGTACTGAAGGTGGGAGAGAGTGCTGTACATTCACTCCCCCCACCTACAATCCCTGCCGGTACGAGACTCGAACCCGCAACCTTTGGGTTACGAGTCCGACTCTCTAACCATTAGGCCACGACTCCCCCCCCCACGACTTCTGTTATAAAACAGAGCTTCCATTGTTGAACAGAGTGTGAACATTCTTTTATATGTTTTATGATAAAATTGGGCCACATGGCTTTATAATGATGTAAGGGTGAGTATGTGATAATGATAATAAAAGTTTTCAATTTTAGGTGAATTACATCTTTAACTGGATACTTTTGAAGTACAGACCCGATAAAGATAAAGAATGTTTGCAGTTCATGAACCCTGCTCTTTTCAGAAGGAAGACACTTGGGGCTGTCTTGTCCAAAAGAGAGATCCAAAATTCTACTTCAAGTCTCAGGAAGACTCTACCACGATGAGTATTATGAATCAGTTTCTAAGACAAGTGAATTTACTGAAAACCTACACCAGGAAAGATAGTCAATACTCAAAATATGCACACATTTACTTGTTATCTGAGAGCCCCTGCCCCTTCAAAGTGCCCTTAAAGTGCCCCTGTTGCGTGCATCACTGTTGCCTGCTTCAAACGCGTCACACATCAACCCCGCCTTATTTGAGTTGATTGGCCATCTTAAATATTTTGACCTGGGGCCCGTTCTTCGTACGTTGCTAACTCAGTTGATAGTTGACGATTTGGCATGATCTTGGATTATTTGGTTCTTCAAAGCTCATCCTGGATTTGCTGTCATAGCAACAGGTCCATAAATTTAAACCTGCTCGGGAGCAATCTTATTTCATGTAAACAGGATTAGATTGCATCTTTTTAAGTGGAATTGATATTTAAAATCTGTCCCAGCCACTGCTAATTTATTACAAGAGTACCACCCTACTAATCCGGCGACAATAATTTTTAAAATAATAATAATTTAAAAATGAATTTGAAAATAATATTATAATGTTGTGTAATCTATAATACTATAGACACAGCCAGTTTTACTCATTGAAAGATTTATTTGTGATAAAATAATTACCTAATAATTGTATTAGAGTCTTACACACATGCTATAGCCTACAATTAATCCGAGTCGTGCATTAATTTGAGTGCTGACAGATATTATGGGAGTGGCTTGATGGAACGCAGGAGATGCAGATAACTTGATCTTGACCCTTAAGAAACTTTAATGCTGTCACGTAACAAATCTGTTTCAAAGATAAAATTACATGAATTGCTAATTACAATATTGAAATAAGTAAAGCCTGTACAAATACTAGAAATTGTGAATATAAATAATTGGGAATCATGTAAAAACATAATAATAATAATAATAATAATAATAATAATAATATTAATAATAATAATAAATAAAAACAGTGCACATTTCATTTATCTATTATACCATTTATGTAGTTGTGTTCACTTGTGTTCACATCTGCCCTTTACGGGGAATACGAGAACACGCAGTAATCTTTGACAACTTAATCCAGATATTTTAATCAAATCCGCAAATTCGTTTGAAGAACCAAATTAGCAAGAGATCAGTTATCACGTTTACAAGATCTGGCATCTTTAAAATAATCTCAGATGTATTAAGCAAGGTACGAAGAACGGGCCCCTGGACCAGACCATTGCACATCTGAGCAAGCTTAATAGATTAAAATGATTTTGAAGGAGACACAATTACAGCAGTTAACCAGCGTCCATTATAAAACACTCACAGGACACCAATTTTGACAACTATGCGATTGTATTGAAATGCGTTTATGCAAAAATAGATGTTATAGCGATCAGTGCACCAATGGGATTAAAGGGATAGTTCACCCAAAAATGAAAATTGTGTCATTAATTAACCTCATGTTGTTCCAAACCCGTAAAACCTCCGTTCATCTTCGGAACACAAATTAAGATATTTTGATGGTATCTGAGAGCTCTCTGACCCTCCCTTATAAGGGTCCTTACACGATCAAGGCCCAGCTACGAGCTACGAGAATACTTTTTGTGCGCAAAAGAAAAAAAAAATTACGACTTTATTCAACAATTCGTTTAATACATTTTGGAGAGTATCACTGAAGGTAAATTGCATATGCTGTTTTGTGTCAGCTGTGCCAGGCAGATACACTGTTTACGTCGTTTGCGCTTTGATTTGAACGAAAACAACGTATCCGCATGGCACAGCTGACACAAAACAGCATAAGCAATTTACGTTCAGTGGATACTCTCCAAAATGGTGGTAGGGTGATGTGGAGGAGTTTTTTTTCTTTTGCGCTCAAAAAGTATTCTGGTAGCTTTGTAAAATTACGGTTGAACCCCTGATGTCACATGGATTATTTTACCGATGTCCTTGGTACATTTCTGGACCTTGATCGTGCAAGGGCCCTTGCTGTCTATGGGAGGGTCAGAGAGCTCTCAGATTCCATCAAAAATATCTAATATCTTAATCCGAAGATGAACGGAGGTCTTACACGTCTAGAAGGACAAGAGGGTGAGTAAATAATGACTAATGACAAATTTTTGGGTGAACTATCCCTTTAATAATAATTACCTGACTCTAGCATAGCTAATGTA